GTGTTTAGAATTCCAAAAGCTTTGTTAGTATTGCTGACACTAAAAGGTTTCTGGTTAAAGATTTTCCTGGAGGCTACTAGAACTCTGGCCTCAGACTTACAGGGGTCACCCTAGTCCACTTCCTGTCTGTCCCCCAGGACTGCTGCAGGTCTTTACTGTTCACTTAGGGGGAACTTGCCAGGACCCTACACTCCCAGTGCCCTGAAGGAGGTGGACTCCCAGAGGGAGGTAGACCCCAAGATGGACTCCTTCCAAGCACATACTCACCTGGGTTAAGCCTCTTTTGCTTAAATTATTACCCTTCTCTGAGATCAAAGCCCATTTTCTGGTCTTGGGAGAGTTCCCTAAACTTTATATGGCTCCTGGCTGTAAGTCAGAGACTCAGGACAAAGGCTAGCTTCCCCACAAAAGCTCTCAGATCGGGTCCCCAGGAATGGGGTATGGGGCCCCCAGTGACAAGAGGAGGAGCAATGGTAGGGAGCAGAGATGGACCAGGGGAGCACATGCCTCATGGTGTGCCCTCACCCCTTCATCCTGCCTGCCTCTCAGCATTTGCACAGGTGTGTGATGGGGGTGTTCTGTGGCCATCAGGCGTGTAACCCCCTTTTCAGTGGGAGGGTGAGTCAGAGTGAAGTCCACGACACTTGTCCACTCACATGGTCAGGCTGTCTGTCGTCTTAATGTAGGCTGAGCCCTTGCCTGCATAATGGTTGTGTGTGGTGGGTGTCCTGTGTGGACCTATGGTCCTTCACCTGAAGGCGCAGGAGAATCAAAGCTCCCAGGCCAGCCTCAAGATGCCCTCAGAGGCACCTGCCTCCTAGACCTTATCCAGACCCTCATCCAGACTCCCAAGACGAGAGTCTCATGACTTCTGCCTCTTCCTCGGGTGCCCGCTGCTCTCTGCAGGTATAATCAGCACAGCAGCTCAGTGCATCTCAGCCGTGGGACCAATTCCCACTGTTACCTCTCCCTGTTGAAGCACCTCAGGCGGCTTCTATGCTCCTTCTGAACAACTCTGGGTCAGAGGGTTCCTGACAAGGGGACTCTGGGAGGTTGGGATCCTTTCTGGGGGAGGTGTGGGCAGAGCAGAGTGTAGAGGGACAGCACCTGCCCCTGGCCTTTCATTCCTGGGTGTGGTTGGAGGAGGGCAGGGACAGACACAGACAGGAGTGGAGGCTGGCAGATTCCAAGGCCTGATGCACAGCACCTGCCAATTTCTATGAATTTATCTCTTATTTCTCTGTGTCTCTATGGTTGTTCTGATTCCCACTGACTGGCCTTGATGTCCTATTCCTTGGAATGCTGCGAGCACCTGGAGCCTGGGCCCCCAGAGGGGGCAGTGCAGCTGAGTCTCTACCCCTGAACTTTGGGCCTATCCCTGTGATACAGCTGGTGGATGGGAAATCACTGTGCAGAAATTAGAGTCTGGAAATGTGTTTGCATTGGGCTTCGCCCTCTTGCAACTCTGCTGTGGCCAAGAATACACTTCAGGAAGGCAATGCATCCTAGCCAAGCCCAGTCCTGAGGCAACACCATGGTAACTGGCCCACAACACTGAGCCAGAGATAATGTTTGTGTTTTTGCGCAACCAAGCCTTGTTGGCCAGGCACCATTATTGCACAATAACTAGTTAAAGAAAAAAAAAAAAAAAAAAAACCAGCTTAAAATGTGGAGGCCAAAGAGGTAACAGCAGATCAAATATGAAAAGGTAGCTGATAAGGAGAACTACGTTATTTATCATAAAAGTGTAAGTGTCTTAAATGTGGATTGAAGAAGTACTCAGTTTAAAAGTCTGTACTTTCGAGGCATATACGTTGCAAAGGAACAGAATTGGAAATAGATAACCATCATACAGAAAGTACTTAACATAAATCTGCAGAAGCTAATAGAATCATGCTAATAAAATAAAAACATTTTAAAAATAAGTAAAAATGTGAGATCCTTGAACAAAACAATAACACAGTTGACCTACTTAATTCTATTCAACAGTGCATCCTGTGGGAAATACATTAAAATTGTTGTGTGTATTAATACTAAAACAACCCAAAAAACCAAACTCACTGCCATGGAGTTGGATCCGATTCACAGCGACCCCTCCTTGGGTTTCTGAGGCAGTATCACTACAGAAGTAGATTGCCCAACCTTCCTTCCGAGGAGTGTCTGGTGGGTTTGAACTGCCAGCCTTCTGGTTAGCAGTCAAATACCTTAGGCACTACGCCACCAGAGCTCCTTATAAATATATAATATACTTGAAGTGGTCACGAATGTTTATAATTGTGGATTTGGTAGGCTATAAAGTAAACCTTAATTTTAAATTATTTAAACAAATCATTGTGTGTTCTATGATTGGGGTGTGGTTAATGGATAGATATGGATGATAGATGGAACAATATATTGCTACATAACCAGCTGTCAAATAAGAAATCTGAAAAAAAAATGAGAAATGTTGAATTGCATACAAACTGAATGTAATCAGCATGAGCATAAGTAAGCTTAAAATGCAAAGAAAAAGAAAAGCCAAGGTAGTATTTGACCAGTAGTGAGACTTCATGTTCCTCAGGAACTTTCAAACTTGAAATCTCACATGCCAAGGACTGCATGCTCTATGACTGCAGTGGGATTTAAAGTTTCTAAAGCATGACCAGTCACTTGTCAGTCAGTCTGTGTGGTGGTTTTGTTTGTGTGCCAACTTGGCTGGGCCTGGTTGAGTGGCTGGGCAGCTGGATGTAGTATTCCCCATGATGAGACTGGTCATCAACTCCATGGTGAAATCTACTGGGAGCAACTGAGTAGCTGCCTTAGGGATGTGGTCTGCTTCCTGTATGTAAGGAGAACCTTTGAGAATGGTCTCAAGCCTCTGGCATGCTTGGACCCTGCATGTAGCCATGTCGTTGCTCAGCAGCCTGCTATGCTCTGACGACCTTGGGACTTACAATGGACTTAAGTCAATGGCCTGCTGTGTGGTAACATCGGGACTGTGCCTTTTTACTTGTTAACTTTGGAGCTTCTCAGCCTCAGCAGCCAGCAGCTGTCTAAGTGAAGAAACGCTTCTAGCTCCAGTGGGCCAGGAATAGGAGGCGGAGCTGGACCCCAAGGTTGAGGGGCTTTCACCCAGCCCCTAGGGCCTGGCACTGTGAACTTGGACATAAAGCCTCCAAATTGTAAGAATAAACTCCTGTTTGATAAGGCCATCCTATTTGTAGTATATTCTTGTCAAAGTGGCACAAGGTAACTAGAACAGTCTGTCACACTGTGGTGCTTGCATGTTACTGTGATGCTGGGAGCTAGGCCACTGGTATTTCAAATCCCAGCAGGGTCACCCATATGGACAGGCTTCAGTGAAGCTTCCAGACTGAGACAGACTCCAGAGAAAGGGCTGGCAATCTATTTCTGAAAAAATTGCTCAGTGAGAACTGTGTGGATCACAGTGGGGCACTGTAAGCAGCATCATGATAGATGGAGAAAAGATGGAAGTTGTCCAAGATTTCCTATTACTTGGTTCTACAATCAATGCCAATGGAAACAGTAGTCAAGATATCAAAAGACTTACTACATAGGGCAAATCTGTTGCAAAAGACCCTTTCAGTTGCCGAAGAGCAAAGACATCTCCTTGAAGACTGAGGTGCACCTAACTCAAGCCATGGTATTTCTAATCACCTCATATGCATGTGAAAGCTGGACAATGAATAAGGAAGACTGAAGAAAAGTTTGATGCTTTTGAGTTGTGGTGTTGGCAAAGAATGCTGAAAGTGCTGTGGACTGCTAAAAGAATGAACAAATCTATCCTGGAAGAAGTGCAGCCAGAATGCTCCTTGGAAGCGAGAATGGCCAGACTTCATCTCACTTATTTTGGTCATGTTGTCAGATGGGACCATTCTTTAGAGAAGGATGTCATGCTTGGTAAAGTGTTGTTGTTGTTGTTATGCGCCATTGAGTTGGACCCGACTCATAGCGACCCCTCCTTGGGTTTCCGAGGCAGTATCACTACGGAAGCAGATTGCCCAAACTTCCTTCCGAGGAGTGGCTGTTGGGTTTGAACCACCAGCCTTCTGGTTAGAAGTCAAATGCCTTAGGCACTATGCCACCAGAGCTCCCTGGTAAAGTGTAGGGTCAATGAAAGAGAGGAAGACCCTCAACAAGATGGGTGGACATGGTGGCTGCCAC